CTTATCTACGTCATAGTCACGCAGTCACGTTCGATAACCTTCTAGTTTATCAGCATATTTGATAGCAGAGTGCATGCGCAAATTTGCACAAATTAGTAAGTTCAGTAGACCTTAGAGCTATAGAAACTACTGTGTACAATTCGTTCGTTAAAGTGCACATGAACCCTTTGACAATACATTCAGTACCGGTTCTGCATAAAGTTTTAAATAGTTGATTGGTAAAATATTTCTTGATTTGAGTGACGCGTCTCTAATTTAGGAAGGTTTATACTTCCAATATGTTAATGATGATGACGTCAGGTAAGGTATTTGAGTGTTTTTGTTGTAACTAGTAATACTTAATGCTGGTCATTTTGAAAATAAAAATTTTAAATAGCTTTCATGTAAACCATGAGTAAAATAATGATGCTTTTTAAATACTGTATCTATGAACCAGTTCGATTTTGTATATTTGATTAAGCCTTAATAGACGTCACACTTATTAGCATATTGAAAGTATAAACCTTCATAATTCAGAAACGCATCACTCAAATCAAGAAATATTTTACCATTCAACTATTTACTTCATGTATGATCAGTACTGAAAGTATTGTCGAAGGGTTCATTTGCACTTTAATATACTTTTTTCAAGAATATACAGTATGCACTCTATACCACAGCATTGCATAACACAGCATAAAAAACCGAATGTAAAGACATAAAAATGAAAACAAATAATATAACCAAACGGAGAAGGAAAAAAGAAAGAAAGAAAGAAAGTAAATAAAGACAAAAATTAAGACGAAAAATTTTAAACATTCAATTGTTGACGTCGTGTTTTTTCTCATTAAAATTGAACAAAAGATTTTATTATCCCTTTGAATGACTGTAAACAGTAGTAGCGTAGCGAACAGTGAAAACAACAAGAGGTATTAGTCCGTTAAATGAGGCTATACAAAAGAATTTGCATGCTGGTATGTACTAGAAGTAATCTTATCCCACGAATCTTTGAAAAATCGATTAAATTTAGACATGAAATCAATCATTCTCAATGATTGTGATTTACTTGTGTAAATTTGGCAAATCAGATACCACTTTAAATTAAAATGAATCATTAATTTTGGAATCGACAATGTACTCGTGTGAGGAGTGTCTATATAATTTTTGAAATAAAAATTCCTTGTTAATAATGTGTAATAGTCAAGTCAGGAAAAAAATGAAAGTAAGATCTACTAACGTCTATAAGGCACCGTCCACTCTTATTAGAGTTATATTCTTTATAGTACACTCAACAAAATTACTTGATTCTGATTGGACAGGAGGAGTAAAATTTAATCCCAAGTTGTACTCTGTCTTCAGTTTTGTTGAGTGTATTATAAACAAAAAATCAAGCAATCTTCTCGTACATTTCTGAATTTATAGATACTCGTGATGTTTTGAAAGTTCTATCGTTGTCGGGTTCAGGAACATAGAACATAGAATCTGAGACCGAAATGGCACATGGGAAGTACGTTGATGCAAGCTGTGACCGGCGACCCGTGACATCATCTACTTTTTTTAATACGCGCGCGCGTTCGGCATTCTAAACCGACTGCATGGATGGCGCAAATGAATAAATAAAGGAATAACAACAAAATATTTTAATATCAAAGGATAAACCTTGACACATAACATATATGGAAACTGGACAATTTGAAGCCAATCTTTCGTAGAGAAAGAAGATTTTGTCGAAATTCCCATAGTTCTCGGTGATTCTGTCCCCCAAGTAAACAAGCTGTGACGTCATTATGAAATAGGGTAATTCCTAACTTATATAAGCTAATGGATGATCGAAAGATCTTGAAGTTTTAAAACGCGTGACCTGATATTGAAGGTATTAGTTAATTTCCTTCTTGAGTAACCATAACGTAGTCATATACAGAAGAGGTTTTGTTAAATGGTTTAGATATTGAATTTGATTCATAACTTGAGATGTTTTAGGTTTTTCTGAAGGTAACTGATAATATACTACCAGCCACGGTGCTAGCTATTCCAGCCACTCAAAAACTATAATATTTAGCAACGCGCAGTTCACTCAGTGCATTTTAAACGCAAACAAATTAACAATTAAAATTTAATCTTCAAAATATCGAAATAATAAACACTGCATAGTGAAGTTTGAATAATAAATAGCTAGATTTAATTTACAATATATCCCAAATAAGTTTTTGATTTTCGATGACATTTGATTTTACTATTTTTTATGCTTACTCTAGATCTTGAGTCATTGAATAATGTGGGAACGAGACGACGAAAATCTCGTTGCACATAAAAGAACAACGCTTTTCATGTTACACTGCTCTTAGTTGTAGTAATCCCTCTGGCGATTGAGTTCATGCCAAGGATTTTTTTCTTTATAGCTCGATTTTATTTATCTATATTGATCTTATTTTACCGCCACCCGGTAGCTCAGTTGGTAAGAGCGTTGGTCTGTTGTGCGGGAGGTCGTGGGTCTTAAAATAACTGAGGAGAAGGTGCTGCCTTTGTAATAATATCTGCGAATGGTTAGACCTTCAAGTCTTCTCGGATAAGAACTTAAAACCGTAGGCCCTGTCTCCCAACACTTCCTAACCTGCAATGGGGGACATAACTACCTGTTGAATTATTCGGTAAGAGTAGGGGATTGTCTCCTATCCCAATCTGGAGGCATAATACTAACATACTAACAAATCACTCATGATGGTACTAAGCTGCACGGCTGCTACTAGCGTCTTAATATCCAGCCCGTAAAGTCCTCCACTGATATTGTTAATGGCGCTATATAAATTCATCCTTTACTTTGACTTTCAAGAATGACCAACAAAAAGGCTTTGCCGCGTGACCAAATGCAGCAGTCATTAGATCAACAGTTTGATTTATATCTTAAAGTTCAGTATTTAGAGACTGAAACTTTGAAAATATGCTATTTAAAACTTTCAAGATATCTAACTGTTGAAATATTCTTACGTTAAAATGTTCGTCAAAAGCAATAAATGGAAAATATTTTAAAATTCTTAATCAGAAAAAAAGGCTCATTTGGTAAATCACTTTAGTTGCTTTACACACGCGATGATACTCTTTCCATTAATTATTAAAGCTATTTGCAATAATGCTTTGAAATTATTAATCATTACTTACCAATAACAAGCGTAAAAAGGGCAAAAGTTAACGCAACTCGAAATTCGCCGGCAAACTTCTTTGCAGCTGCCATGATCACAGTCTCTTTCCTTTGGCAACACTCGAGAAATGACTCTCACCCTTACAGTTAGTGGTCGTTCAACTGTGAAATTGAACTTGAACTAAAATTCAGGTCTACAGCCTGCCTACGCAATACTACCTTAATGCCTTATCAATCAGGTAAAAGGAGTGTACTAGACGATTAGTTATCAGCGGGGTGGGGGCAACAGATGGGTATTTTTACGTTGGGTATTATCTAGGAAGATACGTTCATTAAGAAGACATCAAAATTGGTGCATAAAGAAGACATCAAAATTTGTCAAACCAAACCAAACCAAACCAAACCAAACCAAACCAAACTAAACTAAACCAAACTAAACTAAACGAAGCTAAACTAAACTAAACTTTAAGAATTCTAGTCAACTACAATGCACTGCGCCCCTCTATTATTGTTTACATCGTTCGCCCACATCGTTCTCGAAGCTTTTATATGCACTGGTGGGGTGAAAGTTTCCTTTGTTTCATTCCACAGCAAGTAGGTTGAATTTTTCAGAGAGATTCTCTTTGAGACATTATGACTTTTCGGTCGTCCAACCGTTAGACATCACAACTTTCGAAATCTACTTTTTAAAAAAAATCTCATTGAAAGCAAAAAATGACTATGTATCATTTTAAAACGTCTAGCAGGAATAACAAGACCGATGGAACTGGATTTTCAAACTTCACCTACAAAACGCGCAATGTATCGTAGTTGACTAGGACCCCGTCCCCACTAATGCGTTTTCGAAAGGCTTCGTTTTTGTCTTGCCGAAAACGCATCGATTAGTTTGCGTCCACACTAGCGTTTTCATATCGTTTTCGACTGTCCACACTAAAACGCTCGAAAACTCATACATGTCTCTTTGTGACGTAATGCATCAATCTACGCATACGCAGTCGAACAGCACCAGCGGTGTTTGTCCCACCACGCGCTTGTTCGACCTGGTCGAATCCAAAATCTTCTCGACCTTTGATACAGCTTAGTTGCACGTGTCGAGTACGTATTGTGGAGTATTCGAAAATACTAGTGCCCTTAGAATGGATGTTCTTCTGTTATGTGTTGCCAGCAGAAGGTTGAACAGAGCAATATTTCGTTCCAAACAAGCGATTAAACAAGTCAACAACATAAAAATGTGTTCATCCGCCGTATTATTTGTTTTTTTAAACTAGAGAGGTCTGGAAAAAAGATAAGCGATGCTATGACGTCATCGTTTTCAAAAGGCTCCGTTTTCGACCGTCCACAACAAAACAATGTGTATCCGTTTTCATTTGGCTCCACTTTGGACAGCGTTTTCAAATCGATGCGTTTTCGATGAATACTCTTATTGTTTTCGAGCGTTTTATTGTGGAGTAATCATAGTCAATAGCGATAGCTTTGGCTTTTGCAGTCAAACCATACAAATCTAACATCTCACACGTATCCAGGTATTTTTTTAAACCGGATTTTTTTATTTCTTTTATTTCCGTTTTTTTGAAATTTTTGAAATTAGCGTTTTGATTTCGAATAGTTTTTCCTCCTACCACGCGTATCCGTTTTCGAAAAGTTGCGTTTCCAAGTGGCGTATTCATCGGATACCTGTAGACAAAACGAAAACAATTCATTTTCAAAAAAATCCGAATACGTGAAGCACGGGGCCTGGGTAACGTGATTTGGAGGGATTTCAGCAAAGTCGCACTGCGCGTCCGCATCAGCAGAAGGCACGAGACATGAATTTTTTTTACTAAAAAAGCTCTAGTCAAACGAACAAATAATTTTTGATCTATATTTATAGAAAACCGCTTGGTTCATTTCCAATAATTGCCATGATGTGACCACGTATATTCACGCTACACGGCTGACCTGCCCTCGTCCAAGGACAAGTGCATGAAGCAGAAAAATCAGACGGTCAGACATTTCTAATAAAAAATATACCTTTTGCTGTTCAATAACAGAAAATATACTTTCATTTATGTCGATTGTTGCATCAATAAGCTGGACATACTTTCATTAACGCCATAATAAACTTTATTAGTGTGGAATAGACTTTCAATAACGATATATAAATATGCACGTGCATTCAACAGCATCAACTGACAATCTATAACACGTACAGACATTCATGGAGATGGAATGTATTTTCTTTTACACTTCAGTAACTCCAATAACACCAATTAACAAACACCAATTTTTAAATAGGTGTTTTTGTTAATTGGTGTTATTGGTGTTAAAAGTTAAAAGTTAAGAAGTTTATTATGGCGTCAATGAAAGTATGTCCAATTTATTGATGCAACAATCTATATTTTCTGTTAWTGAACAGCAAAAGGTGTAATATCATAGCACTTAACTAAATAATTTTTCGAGAATATACATATGTCTAAGATTCAAATGAATATGATCTTATGATTATACAGTTATATAAGACTTATGATAGAAATTATCAAAAACCGCTATAAATAAAAAATTCCCTCTGATAAACTTCTTGTTTCGGCTTTGATGATAAGGAAAATAAACTTTCTTCAGCAAAATGTAGTGCTTATTATATTATAGTAGGTCGCGTGTTTAAGCCCCGGCCGGGCTAACAAGAAATAACTGAAGAGAAAGTGCTGCCTTTGAAGACTTCTTCATGGTTACATTTGCAAATGGTAAGAGCCGTCAAGCCTTCTCGGAAAAGGACCTTTAAAACCTTAAACCAATTCTACCCAATCAATGTTTCCTGTTGGAGTCATAACGTGCTAAAAATCTCTAATCTATTCCCATAAAGTCCTCCAATGAAAAAATTAAAGACATTTCAGTAATTAAAGCGCATTCAGACGCTTGTATAAAGCGCTACTGTATATGAGAAAAGACTAGACTTTTAAACATCTATGATGCAAGGGATTAGTCGATATGGGCTGGTCTCTCCCCTGGTGCCCCGGCTAGTACAACATTTTCTGCGTAATTCGTACACCCAAGGGCAGAAGGATTTAACAGCTCTGCGGATGTCGAGAGAGAGAGAGAGAGACTCTGCTACAGGGAAAGTATCCACGAAGAGAGTCGTTCGTATTCTGTGCCGATGAAAGACAAACACGTAAATTACTAACTAGAATGCAGTCCCAATCGGCAAACTGCTAGCGCAGTGCTTATCGTTTAACGCGCAACAACTCGTTCCGTTACTTGAAGCAACTCGCCTAATATGTAGGAACACGTTTATTATTTGTAGCAACTTGTCTAGCTTGCTGCATGTTCCTTATGGGCCAAAATAAACCCCCCTCCCCCTGGAACTATTACAAGATCATTAATACTCAGTGTCAGCATTGGTTCAGTGTCTTAATACCAGTATTCACAAATACCAACGGTAAATTAAATATTTTTTTGTGTACGCTAAAAAAACATGATCTTATATAAAGCGTGGTTCATATAAGAGTTAAAGTTTTGAAAGTTCTAGAAGTTGAACGTGATCTTCATGACGTCACAGTAGTACGTAACAGACCATCTTTACGTCCTTGTTTTTTCAAAAATATTTATTTGACATGATATAGTAGGAGGGAGGGCTTGGGCTTGTGCGCATTTCAATCCCATGATGCACAGTTTTGGCGTCGTCCATTGAAAACGCTAATAGGTAGGCCCTTTGCAGTTAACGATCACGTGTCTGTACTGGAATGCAAAATTTTTGTTTTTCTATTAAATTGGTGATTCTTTTTAGCTACTTGTAAAGAACTGAATGAAAACATGTGAATCCAGTGTGTTACGAAATGCAGTTTTATTACGATCTCTCGAAACAGGTTGTACTGAAAGTTTGTTTGCAGTCCAGTATATTTCACCCATGGGAATCAAAATGTTCATTCATTTTCTCTCAGTGAATTAATCAGCACGTGATTGCTTAGCTGCAAAGGGCCTATTGAAGCTGGCTTGTGCAAAGAATTTCTATTCGATGCATTGTTTTCACGGCCATTGTTATGCTGATTCACCTGGAACCGTGGTCCAGTGGAAAAATCGTTGTCGTTCAAGATACTGAGTCAAGATCATCCGAGGAGGGTTAACCTTGGATGGGTGAACTGAAACTCATGCTTAACTTTTTTTTACACTTTCCCACTTTCAAAAAAAACAAAACAAAACAAAACAAAAACAATTCATTTTAGTTGATAAATCGTCGGAAATAATAGAAAATCCATTGATCAAGAATAATGTCTACCTCTCTCTCTAGTTTGAAAATCAACCAATCTCTGATTTTGGCAACATTAAGAAGTTTATATGATTTTACACATATTCCTATATTTTGTATTTGATTCATAGATGTAATAATAATAATATATTAACGTATCTCTTGAGCATAGGTTTAAATGATTTATTTCATTAAACTTAGAATTAGATATAAAAAGTGGTTTTCATAAATACATGAAAAATCCCATAGCGTTCTCGTCCCCATATTGTATCTACGCTCAATTGTTTCATAGATTATTGAAAACCACTCTACTTCTTGGGAATGGATGTCAATTGGGACGTGAGTCCTGTATCATTTTCCGGTCATAACAGTTCTGTCTTTCTTTATATTATTTATGTTTCGTAAAATTAAGGTGGCTGGACCCCCTCTAGTCTCCCTCGCATCCGTTTTTAGTGTCGGTCGTCACGCAACGCTCCCTCCACTAAAAACGGATGCTAGGGATACTAGACCCCCTCACGCTTGACCGCTACCTTACACTTTTGGAACGCTGGTGCATAAACGTGTTTTATCCGATTGCAAATCTTTTTTGCACATAAGTCACATAAAGATTGAATTAATGTTTGATRCAATTTTTAGTGAGATCGGACGTCATAACACGTGATAATGATGAAATATTTGTTTTCGTTTAGAAAAAAATTTTAGCCTTGCAGAGCGTTCAACACTAAAATGCTTCGTACCACATAATTATGTACTAAATGCCTCCATTGGTAGGGATTTTTGAAAAAATCTATCTAGCTAATTATGAGATATTTGAGATTATTTAAATATAGTGCGTAATCTACTTCAAAACTAAACAATGGATTTGATACGGCCGAAATTAATATTTCAGAGCTATATATTCACAAAAGTCATTGCTCATTTAGTTTAACTCTGTATCTAGTTTTAAAAGGAACATTTTGAAGGTAATCGACTTATGCGATTTTGTGAAAGATCTTTATTGACTCCGACGAAGGACTAACGTCCGAAACGTCAGTTCCTATTTTCACTACGGTGTAAAACTTATCAATCTACGATAACTGTTTCATTAGAAACACCGACGCAGTCCACGCTAGTGTTTACTAGCCATCATTTACTAGATCTTCCATTATCCTAAATTCGCTGATCATTTCTCTCAAAACTACGTCAGGATACAAATTAGAACTTAAACTAATATTACACAAAATTGCAAGACTATTGAACTCATTTAAAGCGATCTAAAGCGAATGAGAAATACAGAAATTGATCGTTTCCCAACGATTTGATGCTCTTGTTTGCTAATGACCATAACAGCAAATTCTTTCGCACCATGCACGGTCTCATCTCGCTTGGCCGCTTTCCGATTTACTCCCGAAGCATGGTAATACGCAGTTTTTTTTATTCAAACGTGGGACGCTTGTCACAACTGTGTATTACCATGATCAGCGAAATGACCAGCGAATTTTAGAATAATGGAAGATCTAGTAAGATTGACTAGAAAACTGCGATGAAAAGTGCGCATCAAATGTTTACCCCGTCTTCTGCACTATACGTTTTCACAAAATCGCATAAGTCGATTACCTTCAAAATGTCCCTTTTAAAACTAGATACAGAGTAAAACTAAATGAGCAATGACTTTTGTGAATATATAGCTCTGAAATCCATTGTTTAGTTTTGAAGTAGATTACGCACTATATTTAAATAATCTCAAATATCTCATAATTAGCTAGATAGATTTTTTCAAAAATCCCTACCAATGGAGGCATTTAGTACATAATTATGTGGTACGAAGCATTTTAGTGTTGAACGCTCTGCAAGGCTAAAATTTTTTTCTAAACGAAAACAAATATTTCATCATTATCACGTGTTATGACGTCCGATCTCACTAAAAATTGTATCAAACATCAATTCAATCTTTATGTGACTTATGTGCAAAAAAGATTTGCAATCGGATAAAACGCGTTTATGCACCAGCGTTCCAAAAGCGGAAGGTAGCGGTCAAGCGTGAGGGGGTCCAGCCACCTTAAAAAAAACTAATGGGTCATCGTACCCCCTCCCCTCCCCTCCCCTCCCTTCTTGTGCGAGCGAGGTGTTTTTGTCATTTATATCCAAGATGGCGGCTGCCGTTCAGCTGCCGATGCAAATGGACCCTTTATTTCTGTCTTTAAGCTTTTTTCGACGTCGAAAACATGAAGAATGTGTTGATGTTTGTACCAAAATGCTTCAAAAGAACCCTTACGACCAGGTAATACTCAAAATATCGTTTATATTCTCACAAAAAAGCGACGAAACTGAGGTGACTCACCGACGCCATGTCAACCAACACATTTTCGCATCTATTTAGAATAATCTATTTTCTCGTTTATTGTATCAGTCTGCCTGGTGTCTGAAAACAAGAGCTCTGACAGAGCAAGTTTACGTAGACGAAGTCGATGTGGACGAAGAGGGAATAGCAGAGATGTTGATGGATGACAATGCTGTTGCCCAGTTACCGAGTAGGTTTACACTTGAGTAAAATACATAAATAAATAATCTTCAATTTATTTTTCTTGTCGTGATTCAATTATTAAACTTTTTTTGATTCTCATTATGCTGTAGTTAGTTGAGAGGGTACGATAATAGAGCACATTCAATAAACGATTTAAAAATTCAGAGCAAAATACCGCTGACAAAACAATTGAGATTTGCTCCGTGTGGGATTATTGTAATTTCATAATTTCACGTCCAGCGAATCTCAAAACACCTGCGTTTTTGGCTCCTGTCAATCAAGAATAATAGCTCAGAACGTAATATTATAGTTGTCTGAGTTGCAGTTCCCTGCAAGCAGAGCCTATTTCCCTTTTGTTTATTGGTGGAGTGAGAAAAATAGACTCTGCCGATGTAGGATGTTATACTTGTCACGCCTGCATGGCGTAACTTAGCAACGCTGTCATGATTTTGACAGCCACTCTCGTCAAACAACGTTTGGCTCCACGGTGGGTTACATTAGCTCATGCGCACTACATGTACCGGTTTTAAAACTGGTTTCATTCGTTTACAATCGTGGACATCTCGATAAAGTACTTGCATACTTTTTTCAAATGGACTTTTCCAAATATGGTGTGTGAAAGCTTGTTTAACAGCAAAAAGCCTTAAGTAAGCAAATGCAGTAAATTTGGTCTTACTTTTGCATGTCACACCATAAAACTATAAATATTGCAGGCGTTTTAATTGTCAAGAAGTCTGATAAGTGTCTTTGTAATGTAGGGCCAGGAACGTCATTGAAGAAGCCAGGCACAGGTGCTGGAGGAGGTCCAACGCCAGGTGTTAGGTAATGCCGCAATAATTTGTGACTTGGTCCCAATTTGAACAGCTGTTTTTATAGTTGATCCTGAAGTGAATCATTCTTTATCTAATTCTTTTTTCAGACCCATGTCTCAAGCAGGTCGGCCAGTTAGTGGATTTGTCAGACCTGGAACACAAAGTGGACGTCCAGGAACAATGGAACAAGCTATACGCACACCAAGGACAGCACAAACTGCAAGGTTTGCAGCATAAAAACCTTATCATGCAGTGCTATTATTTATAGTATTGGATGAATACTCGTCCACGACAATGAGCATGAAAATGAGGTATCCAGGGCCTCATTATTATAATGCTGCAAAATTGTATGTACTACAGGAACGATGGGAAGAGTAGGACCAATATACCAGCATAGACCCTTGCATTGATTTCCTGGAGGAATTGACTTGTTCTTGGGGACAAAACAATAGACCATCTTTTCTTATGCAAAAAAAAATCCATTTTCCCCCCAGAAAAATCCCTCTTGGGACTCAGCGCAAGGTGTAAAATATGTACTTCACATATAGTAGATGCCATATTGTTGCTTCGCATTTGGCCATGGATACCTTGTTTTCTTGTAACACACTCAGATGTGCTTAGGAGTATGCTTTTGATAATTTTGATTTTTCATTCATCTGATTAAGATTTTATATCGGAAAAGGTGAGGCTCTTTGATGCCAGTACCAAAACATATGGAAAGTTATGGTCATTTGAAATAGTTATAAATAATATTATATGTTTTAATAGTAAATAGTTTGAACCCAGGTGTTGAAGTTTGGTGTGAAATGTGATTGTGCGGGTGAGTGTAGTCTTGAGAAAGACTGTTGTTGGTGACTGATGTTTCGACAACCTGAGCAGAAGTTATCAGAGTCTAGTGAGAAAACGAGACACAGTAGATGGTAATTATACCTCTGGTTCGGTCATAATGTAAAGGGTAATTATATATGTTTTTTAGGCCTGTGACAAGTGCTTCTGGTCGATATGTCAGGCTTGGAACTGTAAGTATATCATTCGAACATTTGATGACTTCTAGAATAGAATGTGGATAATGTAGCATGAACACTAATACTTAAGAAACAGAATGGGTTAAGTTTGATGATTGTATATATCCAGGCATCCATGTTGGCTCAACCTGATGGTCCTTTTATCAATATCTCTAAACTGAACCTGTCCAAGTATGCACAGAGACCTAATCTGGCTAAGGTGAGTCATACTGTGGTTAGTTCACTGTAGCAGCAGGGACTACAGTTGATTATGGGGTGGGTCAGCTTACAGGGCCCAGTTGTTGAAAGGCTGATTAGTGCTAATCCTGGGATAACTCTTAATAAGACCTATAGAGTTAATCCTGGATTAGCCCTTATCCAGCTTTCAACAACCCGGCCCAGTACTACTTATAATATTTACCAAGCATACACTGTACTTGTGGTACTCAGTTCGCTGTAGCAGCAGGGACAGCTGTGGATGATTATGGGGTGGGTCATCCTACAGCGCTACTATTTTTTCTTCTTGGGAGATGATAGTATTGAGCATGGTGTGGTTGTTCTTTAAAAGTGCTCCTTGTGTTTAAGCCTTGTTTTTCAAGGGCCCAAGTCATGATGGATGTAAAAAATTAAAATAACCACTTTGAGGATGCAGAGCTTAAAATAACAGCTTGTCAGTCATAGATTATTTTTAGCTTGCTTATTTCTCATTTCTGGCTCAACGTTACTGGTCAAAATGAGATTTGAACTGACAAGTTCCAATATGGGATAGATGGTAGGTCCTAGAGAGATCAATTAGAATTTGAAATTTGAGCGATTTGAATATGTGAAACCTCTTACATGTAGCTGAATGTTTCAAAGGAATAATTGAATTTAGCAGAAAATAATACATTAAATAAATAGAAGAATATTGCGCGATTTAAAATATGTATTTTTTATTCCAGCCTCTGTTTGAGTATATATTTCACCATGAAAATGATGTTAGGAATGTAAGTATCTTAAAAACAATTAAAAGACACACATATTGTGCAGTTCCAGAAGAAATATTTCTTATACCCCACCCCTTCCCCCAGAAATTCCAATTTTCTTCCACACAAACTCTGTAATTTTGTTCTTTCTCTGACCCTCCTACCCCTCAGAAATTCAAAATTCCTCTGTTTGTTTGTGTGTGTGTGTGTGGAGGGGGGGGGGGGGGAGGGATTTTTTCTCTTGCCATGAAAATAACCATGTGAGTCGAGTGTTGAGTGTTGTAAGTGAATGTAGTGGTAAATGCATGTGAACCTCACAGAAGAGATCCCTTATTATAAGTAAAAGCATGACCAGCTGAGGGTGAATAGTGATTAAATTTCCCTGAAAGCCGAGGGAGGTTTTGTTGAAGTCTGAGGTAATCATGTTATTATGGAAAGTAAATTAATGTAAAATAATGTAAAAAACTAGATGTACAAAATAACACTCTCTCCTGGGCAGTCATCAACTGACAGATATCGAATATCTAATATCTTGATATTGAATACTACATGTATTTATAGAGATGTGAAATGTTTATTTAGGCTTTAGAACTTGCATCCAGAGCAACAGAAGAAGCACAGTTCAAAGACTGGTGGTGGAAAGTACAACTGGCCAAATGTTATTATCGGTAAGTATATCCTACTTTATATTAATTAACTAATTAATATTAATTTATTCATTATAATAATTATTTAAAAAGGGAGGCTTTGTCTCGAAGTAGTGTAAAATCTCCAAAAAACATTGTCCAATAGTCCCTTTCCTCTTGGGCCTAATGCTTTCCCATTTCAGACCGCGTGTCATTCTCTTTTTGATATTTATGCTGTATTTATTTTACAGACTAGGTATGTACAGGGATTCTGAAAAACAACTCAAGTCAGCTCTAAGAGACACCGAAACAGTAGACACATATCTGTACCTTGGTAAAGTATACAGGAGATTAGACCAGCCACTGACAGCTATTGAAACCTATAAAAAGGTAAATAAAGACTAGAGACCGAACTGTTATTCAGTGGCTTGTATCTTTGTGTGTAGTGTTCTATTTGCAGACAGCAGTCCCACTATACCCTGGCTCTGCAGATTTAAGATTAATATAGATATATACTAGATATATATATATATGTATATACCACAGACTATGCTGTCATGCAATTTTGTAATCACAAGGGCGAATCCAGCCAAAATTCTAAGGGGGGCTAATTGGGTTTAGGGGGGGCTAATTGGGTTTAGGGGGGGCTAATTGAGTTTCTTCCGTCAACGCAACGGAAAACAATTTAAGAAAAGCATCTAATTCTTCTATTCTTTTGTTTTTGTTTTTTTCCTGCTGGATTTGCCCTTGAATCACTTGTGATTTCAGACCAAAATTCAATCCACTCAGTTCAATAACCAATAATAACTTTTGGTACTGTTAATTGTTTGAATAATTAATATATATTAAATAAATAAAGCCTTTCCAAGAACCTTTAAGACAAAGATCTGCACAATGTTTCTTTTCAGGGACTTGAAAAGTTTTCAGGAGAAACGACCCTCATGACTGGGATAGCAAGAATCCATGAAGAGTTATATGATATGAATAATGCAGTCAAGCTGTACAAAGAAGTACTTCACTATGACAACACGCATGTAGAAGCCATTGCATGTATCGCAACTAATCATTTTTACACCGACCAACCCGAGATTGCCTTGAGATTCTACAGGTATGGAGAGTAGTAGAGTGAAGGCATTTAAGCTGTGAAATAAAAAAAGTTTAAGTCAAATAGACACAAAAGGGTGTTAGTCTAACATGTATTTCATGGGTTTAATGACTTCTCTCTAACACTTTTTTGGGAGAGAGTGACATCACTAGTGACATTATTGATGTTGTTTAGTCCAACAGATTCCAATGTTCTAAGGCACCACTCCTAGAGTGTTGCGTGACTGCAGCCCTTGGTGAAAGTGTCACACAATGCTTTTTTTCCCAATAAGCCTTTTCATAGTTTAAGAATCGTTTCCACTGCGCATGCGATTTTATCCCGAATTTCTCACCTTCTTTTGTTTAATTAAGAACAAAAGAAGGTTTAGACAAAAGAAGGTGAGAAATTCGGGATAAAATCGCATGCACAGTGGAATCGATTCTTAAACTATGAAAAGGCTCATAGGAGTGAAAATGTTGTGTGACAACTCTAAGAGCAGCTGATAACAGTGTCACACAATCTTCTTTCTATAAAAGGAGAGTGTTGCGTGACATCCCCTATGCCATCTGTTAAAAATATTTGAGTGTGGTATATGTCAGGGGAGTCAGGATGGCGTGGTGGTAAAATGCACACCTCTCACCTCTGAGGTCCGAGGTTTGAATCCCAGTTGCCCCATGTGAGCTGAGTTGGTTGGTTCTTTTTCTGGCTCCAAGGGTTTTTCCGGTACTCAGGTTTTTCCTCCCTCCTCTCACATCTACCCTAACTAACTCAGTAAGAGCTGTGCTCTGGGGTCATACAGGAATGAAAATTTAATGTACTATTAATTTTGAAGCGTGAATTTGTCATTATCCCACAGACGATTACTCCAGATGGGCGTCTATAATTCAGAGTTGTTCAATAACCTGGGTCTGTGTTGCTTCTACGCTCAGCAGTATGACATGACTTTGAACTGTTTCGAGCGAGCACTAGCTCTAGCTTCAGATGAGACAATGCCTGATGTGTGGTATAACATAGGCCATGTTGCCTTGGTAAGTTAGCAAAATAAATGCACCGATTTTCTTGTAAAAACAAAATAGAAAACAAAAAGCGAATTTTTGCTCCCAAAATTTTGATTCTTGGTAAAATAGTGTTTGGGAAGTTACGCCAAATGTCTCGAACTTGTTTTAAAAATCGTTGCAAAAAGTAAAGCTCTAATTTACTTTTCGCAACAATATACCTTTACCTTGGGCGTACATTTTCCCATTTCAGACCACGTGTCATTCCCTACAGTATCATTTCTTTGTTTAATGGTTACGAATGAGAAGACACATGTACATTGATACAACTCAAACAAAGAATGTTATTCTCAAGAGAATGACACGTTCTCTGATTGGGCAAAACATTACGTCCAAGGTAAAAAGGTGTATTATGGCAACGATGTAACAAAATTGCGACGCAAGAGTTTGGTGTGTTGCACAAGCAGTATCTTATGAAAATTGTCTGGATGCAGAAATGCGGGACAAGTTTAAAGTAACCGTGGAGTGATGTGGCGTGACTTGACGTGGCGTGACGTGGCATGGCGTGACGTGGCGTGGCGTGGGGTCGGGTCGGGTGGGGTAGGGACCAAAAGAAAGAAAGGATAACGTGATACGAATATCATTTCAATGGATTTGTTTGTTTTTAGGGTATTGGTGACATGGCATTAGCCTACCAGTGCTTTAGATTAGCCTTGGCGTCACAGAACGACCATGCAGAGGCTTACAACAACCTTGGAGTATTAGAAATGAGGAAGGGACATAATGATCAGGTACGTCCCAACATCCTCACTCACTCACCTGGCTATTCGCCGCCGCCTCACTAGTACGCATGTACAAGAAATCGTACTGCAAGGGTTCTATATTCTAGTACTGTCTTTGCTGTATTATCTCCCCTGACCTGCGGTTGCTTTCCATAGTTTTCTTTATTTTCACACCCACCCTCCCACTCTCTTGCGTTGTTAAGGTTCTTTGGAGAGCTCCAACAGGGTTACCTCTCCAGTTCTCTAGCAGGAGTACAGCGACACTCCCGGAAATAGAACTATATTACGACTACTAGCTAGTTGTGTGCAACCCATTTCTTTGAAGGCAGTTCAATAGCACCGAATATCGATATGTGAGCTTCTTTTCTATTTTCCAGGCAAGAGCGTTTTTACAAGCAGCAGCTTCGCTTTCTTCTGTCATGTACGAACCACACTACAACCACGCCCTCCTGTCATTCAAGGTAATATGTTGATTCTTCTCTCTGATTGGCTAACGTTTTTACTCTACATCGGCAGCTAGTGTCCTCGCCAATGAAGGTCACATTGTGCAACTTTCTCAGCAACTTGTACAATACAATACAATAGATCTTTATTCACATTTCCTTTTATGTTAGATTACATTAAATTATATATTTAGATCATTGAAAAGAAAGAAATTACTTATTTGGTCAAATAAATAAAGCTAAATATAAGTTGTAATGAAAGGAAATGCCTAGAGCCTAAATAAACCATATAGTTTCCTAGTTAGACCCTTGTTTCGCAATGCTTAAAAATGTAGCGTTGCAAGTTGCCGAGGTGAGGTGTAACACTGCAACGCGATCTCAGAAACTTGCTTTTTTTGGCTCCTCGGAAGAGAAAAGTGCGCATGCGCTCTTTAAAAAAATGTGCCTTGAAATTGCGAGAAAAGTTGTTGACACTAATAGCGGCTGTATAGGAGACTACAGGCCGCTTTCACAAGGAATGCTATGTTGAGGAGTAAAAGTACTCGGTGTGGATTGGTCCTAACATCGTATTTGTTTTTGACAGATTGGTGACCTGCAGAGTAGCTATAGCTCGGCCAACAAGGCAATGGAAGGGTACCCCGATCATTCAGACAGCCAACAATTGCTGAAACAATTGAAAGAAGACTTTTCTGCTTTGTGATTTGTCAGGTCATTCTAAGGTCATTGGGATAGATGCGCGTACAACAGGTAGCCCGTACAAAAAATTCAAAAAAATCGTTGTGGAAGTAATAGGAGTGCATGGTATTCATAAAAGTTCTGTTTGGCTTAAATTGGTAATAAACAAATTTAGACAAGAGACGATTAGCACGAGGTTTACTGCTAACCACTAGGGATCAGACCCAGAAACACGCCCGCAAAGACGTACACTCTGCATCAATAAAATGCATTAAGCCGGCCTCGAATATAACAGTACGCATCATATTTGCTGAATCTAAACAGTATTGCAGCCTACAAATCAACTTTCCTGTAAATACCTTTGTCAGAAAGCATTGTCTATAATATAAATAATGGATCCAAACAATTGTGTCTTTATTTCTAGCAGTTTAAGATAAAAAACCAAGACAAAGTATACTTTTAGGACATTTATTTAAAAGGCTCAAAATATTAAGGTATTTTAGCACGTCCAGCTGATCTGAGTAAAAATGCTAGCCAATCAGAATCGAGATAATTCGGCAAAACTGATGTGTTACTTTTCCTCTTGAAATCACGGATTTTCAGGCCACCAAATGAAAAAAATAACATTGCTAATACTCGCTTGATAACAGTGACACAATAACCATGAGTTTTATAGCTTTATTCCAATGGCGGGCATGTTTTTAAATTTCGCTGATATTTTCACAGGCTTCATGGGACCTCCGTTTTGCAGTGACAGTTAATGCTGTTAAAACTATTTCAGATCAACTGGATGTGGTAAAAAAAGGAATCTCCCTGATCACGTGTTGATATCTAAATGATAACAGGTTTGTCACTCAAGGCTACTAGATGCGGGATAAAACCATTGTGCTTCTTCTGCTTGTAGCGTCGTAGCCTGAAAGAGTAAAGGATTGGTCGTCGATTAGAGCGTAAACTCCATCAAGTTTTGGGTAAACGCGGGAGGCTGCATAACACGAAGGAAGCGTCAGGGTCGCGCGAGGCGTAGCCGAAAAATCAAAATTTATTTAACTAGATTTTACATCCTTATTGGGATATCCGTGACCCGTGTGAACTGTCTGTGGAGTGCAGAGATTGAACTAGCCTGGCTAAGACATAACAGATTTCCAATGAACTGACATTTTGAAAAAAAAGTGGATTGGTAGGGCAGGCAATAGGGAGGGTAGCCCTGTGGGTCACATTTCCTCTTCCTTTTCTCATGCGCTTCACCTGAATGTGTGTACTTTTTAAAGTCACTGACCGTCATAGCAGATATGGCCCGAGTACTCCAAGCATTTTGATTGGACAAGCAGTACAATGCATGTTGTATTAGCATTAGCATAATTATACCATTATAAATGCAACCTACCTTGCCTGGACGCAACCATTTCCAGATCGACCAGGTGGTGGTTTGGGGTGCAGAGGTTTGGAGGCGGTCTCTGTTCCATGCCTTGTGTTCGTATAAATATCATCCTCAGAGTACCTTCTCCCTTCTAGGATATCATTACTAGTGCATGCCTCCATCACTACCCCATAATCCTCCACGGCCAGCTCTGTTAAGGTTGGAATACGACACATCTCATCTATCGAGCCCGATCGCCCCTCTCTTGGAGCAGGTACCGGTTCAGAGTCCTCTACCAACTGACCGAACCCAAAATTACTTGTCGAAGCCTCGGCGACAATATCATTACTTCCTAATTCATTAAGTGTTGGTATGTGACATTGTTCTTCCACATCATAATCCTCATTTTGACTTTCATTGACCTTACCCATTGACAATGTACCATTATTATCCTCGAGTTCATTGATTGAAGGCATATTATAATTTTTATCTTCTGCATCGTCTTCACTTTCATGTTGGTTCAGTTTATCTTCTACAGCAATCTGAAGGTTATTCTCGTTCCCATCACTGACTGATGGTTCACTGTACGGCTCTTTATAATTCTCCTCAACCTCATTACTAGAGTGTTTTTGTCTGATATCATTTAAAGGACGCTGTTCTAAGTTCAAAGTTTCTTGCAGTTGGTCATTTACTGGCAGATTTACTCCATCATTCTGTGGAGTGTTATTTTCGCTCCTCTCAATTTTCTCACTTTCTTTGTCGAAACTACTACTCTCAGAAAACGTATGATCAAATTCAATAATTTTTACATTGTTGGTTTGTTCGTTGACATCTACAGTATCTAACTCTATATCTGCAGGTTCTGGGAAGTCTTCATCAGGAGCACTTTCTTCTCTCCCTTCATAGTTTTCACTCTTTGTGTCCTCGGAATTGGAAATATTTGAGGTTTCCTGGTATCCCAAGTCCCCAGTAGTCAGCCCGCTCCCGGCCGCAACACCCTTATCATCACTGTCTCGAGTCTCGTAATCATTCGACGTTGTCACGGGGTTTGTTGTGACGATATTGCGTGACACATCCACGTGGATTCCACGATGAGACTCCGTTGACGAAACCTCTTTATCCGAAGCAAAGTTGATTGAATCTAGTTTGTATTCGGCTACCTCTTGAGTGATGTATGTGGAGACTGTCTTGGATGTGAGAGCAGGGCGCTCGTACTGCATTTGCTCAAGCACGGAAGGAACGCGATACAGATCCAAGTTCACCTGCAGATCAGGAGCGGAGACAGAATTCTTCATTCTTGGTTCTCTAGAACCTTCTTTTTGGTCCTCGACATTGAGATGCTCCATGCTGGCCGTCTGTCGCCAGGTCCGGAGTACATAATCCTCATCTGCAGGTCCCAAGATGTCATCGATATCTGGTGATAAATGAGCATGGTGGTTGATATAATTAACCTTGATCTCTCTGTGCCTGTTCAAAGCCGGCAAGTCCCCTTGGTGGTAGGTAGCATGGAGCAATGGGGTAGGCATCACAACAGGCTGGTCCTCTGCGTTATCTTCTAGCCAGGGTTTATGCGCAATATCACCACCATCTTCTTTGTTCTTCTCCTGTTCGTTGGGTTCTGGCTCCGTAATTACAATTCCTGGCCATGCTGGCGATTCTGACGGAGTGTCGACAATTTTGACAGGGGTGGAGTCAGGTGTAAGAATGACCGTTTTCTGTGTCCCCTCTCCTGGAGAGCTTTCAATATTATTCTGCACATTTTCAACAGCTCCATCAACGGTTTCCGGTACCACATCGAACCATTCTTTGTGGTTCTCCCCAGCTTCATTCTGCTCGTGCATGTCTTTAGGTGTCCTTGTGTCTTGGTTAGTATCTACCTTTGCTACTTGTGCTTTCTGTACATCACGCACGATGGCTGATATTATAGCTGGCGTTTCTAATGCTTTATCCTCTCCATTTTTCAATTTTCCCTGTTTGAAAGACAAAAAAGATGAGTCATGTTACACTACTCTCTCAGAGGGAGGATACGCAAGGCATGAGCGCCCCTTCCCACTAGTGTACCAATGATATCCATCCTAGTGAAAGAATAAGTGGCGTAGCAGTAAGATGGCTTACATCTCACCGATGTCACCCAGATTCAATTAACTGACTTGGTGTCATGTGAGTAAATATAGTCTCCTGTTGGTTCTATCCTGGACTTCGAGGGTTTTCAGAGTTCTCTGGTTTTCCTCCCTCCACAAAAATCAAATTTTAAATTCCAATTGAAGTTTAGTAAAAGAAGGACTGCTCTGGAACCACGTTAAGTTCAGTTATGTATTTATTTAGAGCCAACCTAGGGGGTCAGTGCTAAATGGTAAACGAGCAGAATGATATGAATTCCCATACTAGCATTGTGATGTTCATTTTTTAAAAAAACATACCTCATTCATAGTGGTCACCAAGTTGCAATGTCCATTAATCAGCTTTCCATTACTGCCAACAGCATCCAACACTTCTTTGATCTTCTGTATAGCTCCCTTATCCTTCTTCCCTCCCTTCACATCACCACCAATATTCCTTGGGTTATTCCCTTTGTTCTCAATGAGATGATCTGTCAACTCTTCTATAATGTCAGCTGTGGGTATAGGATGGTCTGATCCATGAATTTCAAGGTGGTCTTTGTTCTCGTGTGGTGTGGATTGCATCTGTCCGATGAGGGGTGTGCTGGTGTTGGTTGTTGTCTGGGATACTTCATGGGAGTGGACCTTCTCCCAGTCGTACGGATCAGATTCTTTGATTCCTTTTCTCTTGATCACTTGTTCCATAAGACCCATCAATAACTGGAAGAGAATCATAATATAATAATTATTATTATTATAATTATTTTTTAATATTAGTATAATATAAAAAGTACCAAATGAGAGATGAGGCGGCCTCGGAAATCATATAAGAACATGTTTAATAGGTAAATTACGAGCCTTGTATGAAATGATTGAAGAAGAGGGCCATTGGGCCTTTCAGAACTTCAAGCTGCATAAAAAATGAGCCAGCTCAACTAGAAACCGTGGAAAGCTGTTTCAGCCTGTATAGACCTTTCCTGAATTCGCTCGACTGCCCACGAAACAATGGTTTGAAGTCGAGATTGAACTTGATTCTTCTATTCACCAAGTTCAATCTTGACTTGAAACCATTGTTTCGTGACCAGTCAAGCGAATTCCGGATAGGCCTATTGGGCCTCGTCAGCACAGTGTATCTAGTGAGCTGGTAGAATCCCATGATAGGTTGATATATTGATTTTAGACAAGAACACTACTGCTACGCATTTATTGATACATATTATATGTATGGTCTTAGTATACCTTATAATCGGGTTTGTCTTCATATGTCAACTTTGATATGTGTTCCTGAAATTGTTTGAATTCTGAAGGTAAAGGTTTCAGTAAATTATTGACGTTATAGTTGTGTTTCATCCTACCAACTTGTTCCTAAAATGAAATGGGAGAAATAATTAATGGTATAATTCCAGAATTGCTATTACCTGCATTTAAGAAAAACTATACTTTTATAGTATACTGTATTTGATTTTTTGCAAAAGATGAGGAGCGCTAAAAACTCGGATCTGATCGAACCAGATTAGAAGTACTGTATGCCAAATAATATTGTATTAATCAATGTCATTCTACGGGCAAAAAGAAATAATGTGATTGGCTTCACAAAAGGGGTTCCATGGAATCACCCTGAATCTGCTTCTACCATGTTGGTGGTTTTAAAAAAGGAAATCTAAGAGTAATTATTGAAATCTTTTGTTAAATATCACCAACATGGACTTGATAATACAACATGTAAATGAAGAATCCTGTTTACTATTCCACTGCTGCCTATGTCCCCTTCCCTGAGATTTTACTCATTATGTAACACCAAGGGACACAAGGGTTGGATCTTGTTACCTTATCTTTAATTTTCCTCCATGGTAAGTGGCCAACACTGAATTCCACCATGACATACAGGAAGGACCATAGATCATCTTGACGCCCCATTTCCTGCAATGACAAGTAAGTGCCGAGAGTAAATACACAATAGACTTTTTAAATGTTGCAAAATGACAAGATCAGCAGTAATCTTGCATAATCTATTATAAAATTCTAACTTGCATTCCAAACAATAAAAAATAAATTTATAAATGTTACCAAAATCTATCAATTACCCAGCCAGGGCTCAATAATATGGCCAGTCAATAGAAGATGTCTGGCCAAAATTGGTGCTTGTCTGGCCATATGCCTTTAAGGCCAGTCCTTCTGACTGACCATATGTTGATCAATCAGATACAGCTATTCATCATGTCTTGCCATCAAGCAGCCCTGACATAATGGACCTTCTGTCCATCTAATAACATCCTACCAACAAGCTCCTGTGCAAGTAGCTACTACTGAACCAACAATCACCAAAACTAATGCTACTAATGCTACAGAAGGTGCCAGTCTCAACTATAACCAGTAGAAATATCACAAGGTCATAAAGTCTTTACCTTGTTGTCATGAGCATTGATAGCAGCATAGCGAACTGTTCCTCTAAATCCTGCAGAACTTCTTGGCTATGAATGAAAAACAACCAAAAAAACCTAATCAATCATAAATTAAATGGCCAGTATTCAGTTCTCCAGATTCTGGTAATGTTACGATTGCTCCAGAAAAATCAATGCAACATATAAACAGTGAAATGTAGTGGTAGTGTGCGTGGGGCAAACCTCATGGGAGGGCCCCTCACATGGAGTGATGTAATTAATGAGAGCCACAGGTTTGAGCCATGTCAATAATAAATTGTGGGTTACCCAAATGAAACTACCGGTATCCATTTAATGATTTATCTGTCATCATCCTGAATGGTTTGAGGAATCCAGCAATACTTACAGGCCTAACTTCTCCATTTGCCTTGGTGTATTGTCTAGCTAGTCCAAAGTCCAACATGTAACATATATGGCAAGTATCTGGAGATGTTCCCATGGCAAAGTTAGACTAAAGGAAGAAAAAAAAAATGGCCACACATTTAATCAGAAAGAAATCTCTGTGAAGCGTGGTAAAGATCTGTCAGGCTGTGGTTGTAATTATGACCATATGTAAGCAACCATGCTGTGTGTTGTGATTTACAATAACAGATATTGTATAACTAATTAATGTGGCAAGTCTAGTAAGACACACTCCTATAACTTCCCATACAAATAAAACCACAAACCAAGAGTAATTGCCATTCCCTTGAGTTTGATTTCTTTGATTACCAGTATATATATCTCAATCACAGAATATCATTTCCAAATTTAATAGCACAGACAGGCTGAATCAGTTTAGAGCAACTGTCATTCACTTGATTATTATTTCTTTATTTACCAGTAATGTTTGAGTCAATGTAGACATACTTCAAAAAATGGTTTGAAATGGGAAATATTATGCCTATTCTGAGTAGCTTTATCTATACATTCCTTTGAAAATTATCTGGTATTTGATGCTTAAACAAGAAAACGTAAAAAAGGCACGAGTTCTCTAGAAATAAAACAACATTAATTTGAATTTTCCCGTTAGCCTTGCATCCGAGATAATTTTGAAAGGGTTGTATAACATCAGCTGACTATCAAACTAACCGGTTTGATGTCCCTGTGCAAGAAGCCAGCCTCATGAATAAATTTAATAGACTTGAGTATCTGCACTCCCAGTCTTAATGAGGTGCTCAAGGAAAACACCCCCTTTGGCTGGCTTCGACGCAGTTCTGCTAGATTGACACCTTGCAATGACATAACCAGGTAGTTGAAACTTTCATTTCTTCCACAACTGACAAACTTGCAAACATGTTCAGTCCCTGAAATGTATTCAAAAATAATGAAGATCAATGACGACTGAAACTCTAACCAAGAATTGAAATGAAATTTTAAAAAACCTGGAGAAATACCCTTAAACCAAAGGAGAGAGCCAACACACTCTGCTCACATGTGATTCTCAGTTTAGGAATTAAACCAGAGATCCAAGAGAAAAACAGCAAGTTTACTACCAATCCACCACCCTTCATTATTATTGATACAGATAACAAAAATTGTGCACTTATAATTTAAGTCACCTTGAAGCTTTTTCAATACTGCCACTTCCATCTTCAAGACCTGTTTGGACTGATGCACAGATTCTACTTTCATAGCTACATTTTCGTGTGTCACCATGTCCAAACCCTTGTATATTTCTCCTGGAAGAAAAAAGAAGAAGGAAAACGATGATGAGATTCAATTGATTTTAAAGATAGAAAGTATTAAGCTGAAAATTCTTCCTTAAAGTGCCTATCACCCTTCTGACATATTAACAGTATTAATTCTACATGGGGTAAGATGTTGAATAGCACTAAAAAATTGTATAGTTTAAGTGCAGCTTCTTGAAGTTTTAAAGGTTTTTCCATGCCGTATGCTAATGTTGTGACATATGAGGAATAATCATTTAATATACAAAACATTACTGGCACAGATAAATTAAATTTGAAATACGTCATTGTTTTCCCCATTGCTCTTATAGAAATTATTGCAAGTTAGTTTTCCTATAGAAAACAAGGATAACAACAAATGACCATAAATGCCTCCTCACAGCATTAGCATATGACATGGAAAAATCCTTTATAACTTCAAGAAGCTGCAYTCAAACTATACATACATACTTTTAGGGTTATTCAACATCTTACTTCATGTAGAATCAATACTGAGAATGTTGTCAGAAGGGTGATAGGCACTTTAATTTCAATATTTATTGACTTTAGTTAATTCATTTTTTTCTGCCAACAAAAACAGTTTTGGTATTTTGAATATCCTTGCTGTTATATCTAAGAACTCAAAATATCATAAATTGTGATGTTAGACGACAATAAGATATTTTAAAAAAAATAAAATATTTTTTTAGCAAAATTATTTTCAATGTGAATGGCAAATATAACTTAATCTTATTGAAACAATCAAAAGATTATTGAATCTTAGTTTTTCATTAAAAATGTAGAGCCTTTGATGTGTCTAGAGGAATAAAAAATATTACCCAAAAGGGTATAAACAGGAAGGAACTACTCAACCGTTTATTTCCTCTCTGATGTTGAATGTGATAGCAATAATTGATTAGCTCAACTGCTACACAGAAAAGATTTAATAAATATTCATCATATATAAGAAATTTGTTCAAGTATATTGGATATAGGAGGATTCATGGTGGCAGTGTAAGTGCCATGGTGGGGTTGCCTTCCAAAACCTTAATCTTAAATCTTATTAGTAATTATTATTAAAATAATAATACTTACCAAACCCACCACCACCAATTTTTTTGGTCTGAAAATAATAAAGAATAAAATTAAGAGAAATGATGAAGAAGATAAAGGAAGAAAAACAAATTCTGTAATTAACAGAAGTAGTTCATTATTTGTTATGAACGTAAAAATGTTATTAGATTAAAAAGGTTCTTAATTTTTTTGAGTAGATGCATAAATTGACAAGCAAAAAAGGAGGAAATAATCATAAAAAGATATTTGATTAAATTATCGAAAATTATTTTATTTTTAAAAAAGAACTAAAAATACTAAGATAGACACGTACATGTACTAATAAAATCATAAGAACATCTTCCATATTGTTATCATATCATTGTTTTTATTTTTATTATGATATTGTCATTATTACCATTTCAACATTATTATGCTACAGATATATAGTAAATGCATTAAAATGCCTATAAACCATGACTCAGTGTTTTGAGTATCCATTCTGAATTGAATTAACCCTCATTAACATATTGGAAGTACATGTATAAACCCTATTATCTCCAAGATGCATCACTCAAATCATGTAAAAATATTTTCCTATTCAATTATTCACTTCAAGTAGAAATAATACTAAAAATATTCAGTTAGGGTTTATAGGCACTTTAAAACCAAGGTCAAAAAAAATTTTTTTTAACCCAAATCCCATTTATGAATACTATATTCTTTTATGCATACTTTTACATTATAGCTGAAAAGTATAAACCAAATCATTATTAAATGAAGTACAAAATGAAACCAAAATAAACACAGTCCAAAAGAATACAGTCTAGAAGTTCTCATGACTTTAGCTTAAACCATACTTTAACCAAAAATGTAAACAAAATATAACATTAATATTTTGTCATCCGGTTTTGTAACGTCATTGGAAATGTCTAGAATGAAATTCACGGGGTATCGACTGAATTACCAATAAAAACTAGGAAAACACGCAATCCAAAACTACGATTTTTCATTCTTTAAAAAAACCCAATAAACTCTAAGAGTAAAATACTTCTAGAAAACATAATTTTATGATACTCTTATTTTGGATTACCGGTCTTCTCATGTCAATAATCTTTAGCGAGTGACAAAATCATGTTGGAAACAATTGTAAATAATATTCTAGGAATTATTGCTCAACATTTTTAGAATTTTGAATTGAAAGTGTTAGTAATATTGCAAATAGGTGGGTATTGTTTGCTTTGAACAGGCGTTTATTGTGTTTTTGCGTGGCAGAAGCCGCAGCTGAGAAGACGAAAAGTGAACACGGAATAACTCAAGTGTTGACGACTCAAGTAAATTCCCAATTTCAATACAAAACACCAAAGCCTGTCCCTTAAGAATTACTCCTGTACAAAATAAAGGTGTCAAAAGAAAAGTCCAAGTATTCATCAAGCCACCAACAAGTATTTTTTCATTGGAAATTTAACGAGAAACTCACGATTTTCCATCGTTGCCTGACAACATCACCAGCTTTTAGCAAGTTATCCGCCATTAACTCCAGAAGAAGAAATCGTTCATGACCATTTTAAAATCGCTCTGTGAACAAATATATCTACATAGACGCCCAGAAAAATAGCTAGATATGTTCTGTAACAAATATTGAGTAGCTTGGAGTTATTTGTTGGAGAATATATTATTTAGTTCGAGTTTTTTAGGCTAAATGTCGGCTTGACATTTCGTCGACACATCATTCCGTTGAATTTATAATCAGACTGCGACGCTGAACAAGCCCGCGGTATAAGTATACAGCAGCTATCACATGAAAATATGTGCCCGCGATTTCATCCTCCTTTTCTCTGTTTTTACAAATATTAGCATGCGCATATTGCTTTCTTGAGACAAGGATCCCAAGCGCTACGACGTAGCAGGTGCTCGCAGGTGCTTTTAATATTCATTATCATCTTTATTCATAATATTATTTGAATAAAATATAAATTTGAAAGGATTTTTAATATTAATTTTTTAATTAGCTTTTTTCAAAGTTTGGGGTTCCTGTGCGTTTGTTTTTACTAGTTCCCAATCCTCTATCACCCAGTCAATAATATTCAGTGCAAAGAAGAATAGCGGAACTGAAAGAAAGAATAAAGTTTTCCAAATTTTTTTAATTACTTACAATTTTAACGAATTTTTGTTGGCGCTATGTGGAGTACGAAGGTCTAAAACAACAGCACACAACAACAACACTATGGACTTTTTGAAGGATTTCTGTGGACTTCAAAATCAGTCTTTTCAAGTGTGGAATTCTACTGAGAGAGACTTTGGTTCCTGCTTTGAATACTTGGCTGTAATTTGCCCGGCTTATATTTTCTTACTTTTTATAAGTGCTTATTTTGTAGGAAAACGTCCAAGAATTGACTCGTATGGACTAGCTGTATTTATCTGGGTCAAACTACGGATAGCTCTATCCTGTTTAATTGTTTTATCTCCTCTGGTTGAAATTGTGTGTTCACTAACTTTGAAGTCCTTTCATCCACCGGTCTTCTTGTTAACGAATTCTTTGATATGTTTGACATGGATTATCAATACATTTACAGTCTGGAGACTTAGACATTTGTATTTAATCAAGAAATGCTTGCCTACACCTCTACTGGTTGCTACACTATTGGTATTTTTAAGCTCAATTATTCAAGTTTATTCTGTGTTTAAAAATGTTAAATCACCGCAAAGAGATTTTAACAATAGTTATCGTGGGGTCAAAGAGTATGGAACAGCCATCAGGAGTTTTCTCCTGCTTTTGTATTTAGTATCACTTGTACAATGCCATGACAGCAGAGGGTTTGCCGCTGGAGGTACTCCAACACCACATTTCAATGAAACAGGTATTCAAGCTGGTGATGAAGGAGAACGCCGAGATCTTCTGAGATCAATATCAAGAGGAACATTCTACAGCAGTACTCAATGTGTATCAGATGACTTAGGTGTAGCCGAGGATCCGTATAACTATCTCTCAAAATTTTTATTCTGGTGGGTGAAGAAAATAATGCTCAAAGGTTACCAAGGTCATATTCAAAGTGCTGAAGATCTTTACTTGCTGCCGAGAAGTTTGAGAACATCAAACATTCAAGAGATATTTTTCAAGGAACTCTACTACAGGAAGAAAGACAATTGCACGCCAAGACCGGAGACATTGGTATCAAAGGGAAGTTACTCTGATTTTGATGATAGTGGATCAGATGTGGACGTTCAGTATGCTCCAGGAAATGCAGATGGTGATGAGGTCTTTGAGAGTAGAAATGAAAATGTTAAAAGAAGTTTATTAGCTGCACTACATTATTCTTTTGGTCGGAAGTACTACTGTTTAGGGGTTTTGAAATTGCTTGGAGATGCTCTTGGATTTGCTGGACCATTACTCTTACATGCTCTTGTTTATTATATGGAGAATAAAAAGGTATTGATAAATATTTCAATCAAAATAAGCGTCTATAGTAGTTCAAGGGATAAGAGTCAAAGGTCATTGCTGAGTTTCATTATGTGCTAGGACTGGGTCAAAACTGGATAACCATGAAAAAGATACCATAAATATCTTCATTTCCATCTCCAGGAACTACAAAAATATTTATGTCATCCAGCTTGGTCAACAGTTGCCTGGTTTCCCAAGTCATTCCACTTGATATGAAATGCAGCAATGATATAGAATAAGAGTTAAAGGGAGTGATAGTAAAGAAAAATAGGAAAGAAAATTAGGAAATAGAAAAGATGCATGGGATATGCTAAATCTGTCCCTCTCTATAGCTCACTTAGCCTCCTCTGTATTTCTTTGACTTTGGACTTCCTGTTCCATTCAAGGTTGCCCTTAGTCCCCTCACGGTCTACAAGGTCTATGCCAAAGGAAGCCCAAGCCATTGTATGCTGAAGAGGATATCTCTGTGTCTCTTTCTCTTTGCTTTTCTCTTTTTCCTTCTCTCTCTATCTCTCTCCTTATGCCCCCCTCTCTTAATGAGCCATCATTAATCTTATTCCTTCTTGTGGATTCTCTTCTCCAGGAACTTACTGTACATGGATACTACTATGCAACTGGGCTGTTCATCTCAACACTGATATCAGCATTTATAAATACACACTTCAGCTACATGGTTGGTATTATTATTTTATAATACTATAATTATAACATCCAGGGTGGTATAGTGGTTTACTGCTCGCCTATGGCAGCTGTGTGCCAGGTAATTTGCGCCCCTGCCAGCTCCGGGCTAGATCATAATATGTGAGTTGGGTTTATTTAGATTTTACTTACTCCATCAAAATCAGCGTGTGAGTTGAGAGTTGTATGCATGGAATATTTAATGTAGTGGTAGTGTGTGTGA